ATGAGTATAATCATATTACCCGAGAAATACTCATTATGATATGAGTATAATCATATTCCCGAGAAATACTCATTATGATATGAGTATAATCATATTCCCGAGAAATACTCATTATGATATGAGTATAATCATATTCCCGAGGAATACTTATTATGATATGAGCAATGTTTATGTCACACTAAGTTATAAGTTATTCATTACCTTGTATTCCCGAGAAATACCTATTGTAATATAAACAGTCTTTGTGCGTAAGTTATTCATTATCATTATTTAATACTTTATAAATTATAAATTTAAATAAATATAAACTTACCGAACCAGGCCTTGGAATAGGCATACTTTCATGTGGCCTATAAGGTGTCCAAAAACTTTGAGCTGTTTTTTGAATTTTAAAATGTCCATAATCAAAAATTCGTTTAATAGTTTCCATTCGATATGCACATATAGCTGACATTTGGACATTACTTTCAGGTGTTGAAAAAACAGCGTAAACATAAGATGATGAATCACCTGTTGTTGATATTGGTTCGGTCACCGCTTCTGTAAATATTAAATATGACAATTCATTTTTGTAATAATAATTATATAAATGAAATTTATTTGTAAGAATTGTTGTTCATTTTATTCTTTGCAAAAAAAAAATAAAATATTTTGAAATTTTCCTAATAATACTTTGTCATTTTATATTCAAACAATCAATTAATTAATAAAAAAAGACTAATTAATACTTGTAGTATTTGAAAAAGATGATTTATCATACTAAAATGGAAAATGAAAAATGAAAAAAAAAATTTTATTAATAGAAAAAACTAAAAAATAAAAAAAAAAGAAAGTTATTGTAAAATTATACGTAATTCATTGAAATAAAATGGTGTATTTGCTGGAATTGAACAATTCAATCGTGCTTTTACATATGATGTCCAGCGTTCATGTGCTGGACGAGCACCACCATGGTCACTCTTACAAACTCTTGCAACTCGAGCATAAATCTACAAATGAAAATTTCATCGAATTTATTAAATAAATTTTAAAAATCAAAGATTTCTACAATATTATCAATGAAATATTTAATTTCGAAACAAAAAAAAGAAAAAAAAGTATGGAAATGAACCTTTCTATAAAGTATATAACAATGGTATTTTAATTATAACAATTTTAAAATTTTATATTTTATAACATTATAACAATTTTAATATTTTCTTTTAATTATTTAATAAAATTAATGACAAGACGAAAAAAATAACGAAATAACTGAAATGATTAATTAATTAATTAATTTGTTGAGACATTTTTCGTTTACTGTATATTAGTCATTTTTTTTATTGTTTTTTAATTGTATTAGAAAAATATTAAAATTGTTATAATGTTTGCTACAGAAATAACAATAATTTGAATACCTGTCGATCGTTATCACTTGTTTCAGCAGCCCATTCACGATACCAAAAATAAACGTGATCACCGTAAACAAATGATGCCACGAAATTTGGTGCTACAATAATAAGTAAGCAAATAAAACAATAAATTAAGTGACAAATAAAAAATCGAAAAAAAAAAGGTAAACTATGAAGTCAAATGATTAGAATGTTAAGACTATATGAGAAATTGAACAGTATATTAACATAAAATTATTTCACTTGATCAAATTTAACATGTCACCTAGGATGATAATCTTTTTGTGTCTCAGTTAATAATAAAGTGTGGAAATGATTTTTGAAAAAAAAAGAATGGAATACATATTATTAGAAGAGTTATTTGACATTTGAAAATGTATCGTTGACCATTTTACATTTTTAATTATTTTATATCAAACAGATACTGTCCCAATCAATCTGATCGTTTTTGACAGATATAATTATCTTCATACTACTACTATTGCTCACTTTTGGCATCAAAATACAATCTTTTTTGGCTAAATTAATGTATTACTCTTAATGTGACCAATTTTGAAACAGACTGATTAATAACAAAATACCGTTATTTGCATATTTTCCTATGGATACTGTAGCAATATACTTTACAGTATTCATTGAATAGAAAAAATGTTTTAAAATACGCTCTTCAAAACTGCATATTTAATGTGATTTTGAATTAAGCTGTTGAATTAGATGAATTAATTCAAAATCATGTCAAATACATTTTAAAGAGTAAACATGCACAATTTGAATTGGTTGAAATGAAAAGCACTTGATAAAAATGAGGTCAATAATGTTGTCATCAATATTAACTTCTTGTCATTATAAATAAGGCTAATCAAATTAACCTGGCATTTATGTCAACAGGAAAAATTGAATAGTTGAAATTTTACAGTTTTAACTTTTTGAATTTAAAACAAAAAATGATTTTTGCTATTGCTTGATTCATTAAGCTAATTGATGATAAAATTGATTTGCATGTATAGAAGAGTATGTGATCAAAGTTCAGTCTTATCCAAAATTTAGGATCAAAGTTCTTAGCTAGTTTTATTGGCTATAATCTTTACTCTTTGGCCATGATCTTTGCTCTCTTTTGCATATTTTTGATCCTTTTATGGAATGTGAGGTGTAAGAATAAAAGTAAATGGTAAATGTATTCGTATCTCATTGAAATTTAATTTTAAAGAAATGATTCGTAACTCATTCAATTTCAATTTCACAGCGCAATTGAGCAAGAAGAATTTTTCGGTCGCGCAAAATGCTATTAAAATGGGAAGTTTTAGATTGTCATATGAAGTAATTGCATTAAAAAATTATTCAAAAAATCAAGTTATTGTCATTTAAAGACCTAAATATTGTAAATTTAGCAGTGTAATTGAAAATTTCTAGACGATTTAATATGCAAGAAAGTAAAACAAATATCAAAATATAATAAATGTTTTGATAATTAATAATCATTGAAAATAAAACAGTTTAATTGCTAAGGTCACCTCTTTTGAAAACCCAATTTATAACAATATCCTAAACATTGATAATACGTATTTTAATTTAAGGACTGTTCAAGCACTGATAGATTAGATCAAATTTTAAGTCAAATAATTGGTCTTTTTATATTTGATAAATTAAAAGATTAATAAAATTTTAAATTCCAAGTAGTGAAATTAAAAACTTCGTTTTAAAATTTAAAGATAAAATAAAAAACTTCGGATATTTTAGTTGAAATTATGCGTTCCCTTTATAGGTCATCAAAATTTTTGGAGAAAACAAATGAAGTATCCAAGGAATGATGACGATGATGATCATGATGATGGAATCATCAATAAGTAATTTTAAATCTTATCTAAATCATACTGTATACAGCAAACAATAAGATATTATAGGAATGTTTTAGTCTTGAATAATTGTTAAAACTCTTTCAAACATTAAACTAAACCATTGAAGAATAGATGAAAAATGAATTTTTGAAATTTCATTTTAAATTATTTACGAATATTTTATTATTAATGACTAATAAATTAGGAAATTATTCCGCATTAATGATGAAATATATCCGATTGCAAATTTTACAGTAATAATGGTATTATTAATATCACTTACAATCAAGTACTTTAAGATCATCTCGTTGTGTTCGTAATCCTTCATCATCTGATAATCTTTTCCTGTAAATAAGTGGATCATTGCCAGCAAAATCAGATACCGTTCCTGTATAGATTTCATTAGCATCAGCAATGTAAACTGCAGTTGAATTATGTTTTGGATCGTACGGTGCAATTGCCTAAAAAAAAAAATAATAATTCAAAAATTATTATCAAAGAAAAATTGAATTTCTTAATTAAAATTTAAAAAAAAAGTGGGAATTAAAAGACAAACAAAATCATTGAAAAAAGTTGAAAAATTAGAAATATTATGTAATTGAAGTTCAAAGATCAATCGATGAAATTATTTGGAAAGATAAAAAAAAGACTGTAAAATGTTACCTGTCCATCAAATTGACGTCTTAGTTGTAGCATACGATCATCATCTGAATAAGCATATTCCCGACATTTGGGAGAATATGCATGTGTACCACAAATAAGACTACGTCCATTAGATTGTCGTACCATAACTCGTATGTAATTGTGACATTCTAGCTGAAATAAAAATAATACAACATGTGACGGGTAATATTTAGCAATTTATAGGCATTTTGGGCAATATTTTCATTCGGGTAATTTATGCAAGATAAAAAATATTGATCAATTTTAGTAATTTTTCAATTCAATAATATTACCCGGCTTTTGCCTTTCATAAGACAATCCTCGATCGTTTGTCCTGGTGGTAACCATTCTAACACCTAAAAATTTGCATATATTAAAAGTAACTGAAATGAGAGTTCTCTTTTAAACTATAAGGTTAAAAAAGCATTAAAGGTTATAGGTTATAAGTTACATATATTGTACATTTTGCATCTCGCATTTCAACTTTAAACTTTCCCCTTTTTTTTCTGACACTAATATGAAAGGTTATAGGGGAATAATTTTATCAGATTATTCACTTATTCAAATTTCAAAACTAAACTTACATGTAACACTTGTAGATTAGCCATTGATAAATTATAAGCTCTATCCCTGCAAAAAAATATAATAAATTTGAAAAGTTTTTAATAATTTTATTTTAATTTTAAAAATTATAATACGATAATGATTAATTCAGGGGATTTTTTTTTTAGAAATCAAAAATCTATAATGAAATTAGGAATTGAATCGCACACTTACTGGGGTTAATTCTGTTTGTTAATTATCGATGAGGAAATTATCAATTTTAAAATTGAATTTAAAAATGAATGAAAAGAAGGAATTTTAAAGTGTCATAAATTTTTGCATAATTTTTTCGAAGTGTCATCAAAAAGAAAAAAAACTCTTGTTTCATATTAATGATTGATAATTAATTGATTATTTTTGGGAATGATAATCATATGATTGTGGGAAATTTACTATCAATTGATCATTCCTATATTCACATTTTCTTCATATATATGTTATATGTATACATGTTGTAATAGATTTTCTCATCATTTGCGCGTTAGTGTGACCATCACAATGACCTTCAGAATCTGTCACAATTAGCCTCATTTCACGCTTTCCAACAACTCCTAACATCCTTTTTTTCTTTTTTTTATTGGATCTTTGATATAAGTGTAAAATTAAAATACACAAACAATGTACATGGGAACATGCAAGTGTAAACATTATCAATAGATCAGAGCATGAATATTATCACTACTGATACTGATATTTTTACTCTTAACACCAATTGTTTTCATTTATCATTATCATTTCTCTATATACTTGCTATACGAATTATTATTATTATCATTGTTACTGTAAAAAGATATTATCATAATTAATTGGAATATGCGACAAAGACAAAATGTTATTAGTAAAGCCAAGTTTAAATCAGGATCAAAGATGAAAGATCAAAGATATCCCGGATGCCATTCTTAATTTTGACATCAAAATCGTCAAAATTGGAACGGTTATTCTCATCTAATAAAAATCATTAGTCAATAATCATTAATTAGCTAATGCATTAATTATCACTCTTGAAGATACTTTAGCACTGTTGACTTTATTCAGAAACATCAATTTGAGTGTCACACTTGAAGGATATAGTGACCATAACTCCTTTGGCTACTACAACAATCTCAGTTGATTCACATCTTTTGATTAAATTTAGTATTGATTTTTTTTTAATTTTATATTTCAAATATTTTGACTGAAATTTGCGACATAACTATTCACAATTATTTGGGGGTCATAAGTTATAATTTGGTGAATCATTATCGTAAAATAATTTAAACATATTGTTTACTGAAATTGGAATTGATATGAATTTAAAAACGATATTTTAGATGTTTTAATCATTCTTTAAAAAAATTAAAGTTAAAATTTATTATTGCGCAAAGATTTTCGTCATCACCGCCATTTTTTAAATTTCATTTCATTTTGTCACAAAGACGTCTTCCAATATTATCATTCCATATCAAACTGTAAAAGTACTAATAATGATAATAATAATAATAATAATAATAATAATAATAATAATAATAATAATAATAATAATAATAATAATAATAATAATAATAATAATAATAATAATAATAATAATAATAATAATAATAATAATAATAATAATAA